TTTGTAATAATGTAATATCTGATTCACCTGTCAGGCTAAGAGAGTCTTCCCAGAAAGTACATCTCAAGTGAGGAAACCATGTCTATGCTCTTCCTACAGACAAATACACTTCAGGATCCTATAATGCACCAACCTGGGGGAAAAGAAATCCACAGGCAAAAACATTCTCCAAGACTAAAACAACCATTCAGGTAACTGCTCGATAGAGATTTTGACCGCCTGGTCTCTCCCCACCTAGAAACCAAAATTCCAAAGTAACAACTTCCCCAACCAAATCCCAAAAGGTCCTACGCAATGCTGAGCAGTCTGGAAGAGCAGTTAAGAGTTGTGTTGATGTGCAGACCTGAAATTTGGCCTGTAGAACTAAGTGATTCCTAATTTTGTATAGTTTTACTGAAAGAGTGTATAATTTTACTGTATGAAATTATGCACAAAACCGTGTTCTGCGTATCTATTTTAACAACAGAGCCAAGAACACATGGAAGCGACCCAAAAAGGAAACCGATATGAAGACAGAAGGGAGATGAAACGAGTACTTGAATTCACAAGAACAGTCTAAACTGAAATAAGGGAATTCTCAACTGTAGTTCAAACGATCATAAAATTGTAAATTTCAAAAGTAAGATGTAGGGTACTCTCTGTAGTGTTTCAATACATTAGAAATTGTGGAAATTGTTTAACAATAATTTCACTATAATCCTAAATGTACGATACATTTACCTAATAAAAGTGAAGACGTATCATATTTTATTTTCATTATTTCCCTTGCTTGTATCAAGACTGTAATCACTTAATATAAATTACACAGAACTTTGACCACATTGAATTGACAAGCACAGTATTACACCTTCTTCAGCCTCATCCTTCAGCCTCAAAGCTCTTTGCAGAGAACTTGGCACCTCAAACCAACAAAACTTCTTCCTCTGTTATGCTATTAAAAGCAGGCCAGTGCAATGCGAGATGGCAAAGGCATCCTGGTGTTAAATACTTCCTATCTTAAAAACCAGGTCTGTCACCATTAATCTTAAAATGCAGCATCCATGAAGATTTCATGAAAAGGGAAATTTTCAGAGGACAGAGAAAACGGATTGATTTTCCAGAAACCTCCCTGCTTCTACCCTAGCAGTCACAGCCCTCTCTGGTATCCTTGCCTGTACTTTGTAAAGAAAACCCAGCATGTGCCAGTTTGAGATCTAATCCCCATCAGGTTCTTCTGTATAAAGAAACAACAACTGAGGAAGTACCACAGTTTAACCCCAGCCGGCAACTAAGCCCCACACAGCAGTTTGCTAACTCACTCATTCCCTCCTCCCTGGTGACTTGTAAGAAAGAAGCAGAAGGGCAACAGTGAGAAGACTCCTGTGTTCACATCAAAACAATTCAAAGGGGAATGCAAAGCTGCACACACAAGCAAAGCAAGGACATCACTCACCACTTCCCAGCAGCAGGCAGGTGTTCAGACATCTGCGGTGCTGGCTTCCCATGGGGTCACAACCTCCTTTGGGTATCCCCTGCTCCAGAGCGGGGTCCTTCATGGGCTGCAGGGGGACAGCCTGCCTCACCATGGTCTTCACCACAGTCTTCACATGGACTGCAAGGGAATCTCTGCTCCAGCAACTACTTCTTCACGGCAATTGGGGTCTGCAGATTTGCTGCACTCACAGATTCTCACCCCTCTCTTCAGGTGCATCACTGCAGGTTTTTGGTTGTTTTTTTTTCTCCTTTCTTAAACATGTTATCCCAGAGGCCCTGCCACTGTTGCTGGTATCTCCAAGTCACTGATGTCACTCACTGCTGAGGAATTGAGCCTATGTCAAATCTACAGCTTCATCTACCCCTCTAAATATTTGTTGTGGTTTAAGCCCAGCCGTAAATCAGACCATGCAGTCTCTGTCTCACTTCCCCCCTTCTCCCCTGACCCTGCTCCAGAAGGGACGGGGAGGAGAATCAAAAGAATGTAACTCCCACGGGCTGAGATAGGAGCAGTCCAGTAACTAAGGTATAACACAAACCACTACTGCTACCACCAATAATAATAATAATGACAAGGGAAATAAAGGAACAGAACACAACTGCCCACCACCCGCCGACCGATACCCAGCCCGACCCGAGCAGTGATCTAGACCTTCCGGGTAACTGCCCCCAGTTTTACAAACTGGGCATGACGTGCTGTGGTATGGAATACCTCTTTGGCTAGCTTGGGTCAGGTGTTCTGTCTCTGCTTCCTCCCAGCTTCCCTCCTCCCTGGCAGAGCATGAGACTCAGAAAGCCCTTGGTCAGACTAAACACTACTTAGCAAGAACTAAAAGCACTGGTGTTATCAGCGCTGCTCCCAGGCCGAAAGTCAAAACCACAGCACTGCACCAGCTACTAAGAAGGAGAAAAATGACTGCTACTGCTGAACACAGGACTATATATTTTGTTCAGAGGCAGCCTGGGGCCTGAATGGGATCAGAGCTGCTTGTTAGGGACATAAGCATCCACTGCTCTTTCTGCTGTAGCAGTAGACATCATGGAAGCAAGAAAAAACAATGAACCCCAGCAGTGTAAGCAGTTAACACACAGCACCTAAGAGCAGGAATCAGGTAATTTCTCAATTCACTAAAAGGAGTGAAGTAAGAAACGTGGAGCACAAGGACTTGCGTTAAAAGACGCTCAAAGAATAATGTTCATCTTTGTGCTCTCAAGACAACAGGTTCTACACAGGAAGAAGTTGGGTCTTATTTAAGCACCACAAGATGGGTTTGTTCCATTTTACATTAAAGAAACATGGGACGGGAGAATGGAAGACTCTTTGAGATCGTGTGATTTTCAATACTTTGATGAAACGAGATAAAGAAAGATGTTCAAGCTGGACAGGCCACATGGAACCATTATGATGATGTCAACAGCTAGACATTGGCAGCCATGGCAATGGAACATTCTATACTGCCTAGCAACTGGTAGAGAATGTGAACTCAAAAAGACTAAAGAAGCTACCATCTCCTTCGCACAAGTGAGAGGAGGGAAGCACAAGACGTGCAAATGGCCACAGGTGGAAATGACTGCAATATCTATATGACAATGGTTTTGAAATTAGACCAGATAGTCTCAACCTGGATTTGATTATCACAGGTCCCTCTTCACAAAATAAACCTAATGCTCTTTTCTGCAGATGTGCCATTGCCACAGGCTGACCAAGAAGTGATTCTGCCTCCAGCCCAGTGTCAAGGCTCACTCACACGTCCAGAGAATACTGTAATACCAATTCACCCTCCACTGATTATAAACCTCAACGATGAAGAGGATGATGAAGATGATGATGAAGAGGATGATGAAGAGAACTGTAAGCAAGTTTTTTCTACCCTTTACAAGCAAGTAGAATGGGGTTTGTAAAACATTACAGTGTACTTCACAGTCAACTGATTCATTAGAATAAGCACTATTTGCATAAAAGAGTGGTTGACAAGTTGCTAAAAGAGTTTCCAGCAAATCTCCAAATTATCAGACCTGACAGTCACCAGCTGCGAGTGAGGCATCATTTTCTAACTCCTGTGAAATGCCCAGCTGTATGTTTCAACAGTGGTATAACTCACATTCCTCTTTCTCATTAACTAGACTTTAAAGGGTGATCCCCAATTCAGATAATATGATCCACAATTCAGATGGCCATCGAATACTCTTCACAAGTCCTCATAATTCAGGGATGACGTTACAGGCTTAGGAGGTACTTCTTTTCCTGGAAACCAGCTTTCGAACACGGGCTGTACTCACTCATCAGTGAAGCTGATGGAAGTCACAGCTTTGTTTACAAAAGACAATTGTGTGAATTCAACTTATATAATCTGTTGTACCGATTTTCTCAACTCCGTAAGCAGTCTCATCACAGAACATTAGTCTGAAATCTAGCAGACAAAATGCATACCAAGCTCTTTCCTAGTTTACCTGAATGTGTATGTTTATATACTTAGGTCCTTAGGTTTTAAAAGTTTTTAAGTGTGGTTGAACCATTCAGTGAATTTCATTTAGAGATGGGAGATCCATAGGGAAGAGATGAACTGCACATTCCCGGTGAGTGAAAGCAGAGAACAACCTGCTCTAAGGCGCACACTGCACAAATTAAAATACTAATAATTTTAAGTCAACACATGTTATCTTCTTACAAGGCTTGTAACTGCAATTCCCTTGCCCTTGGAAGTACCTAATGTGAAGGAATGATTTCCCTGTCCGGAAGCAGAGGTTGTAATTGGGATGGAAATAAAAAGGAAAACTAAGAGCCAAAAAGCGTAACCAAGTGAAATTCATTATGTATTTGACTGTTAAGAATTGTTGAAGGTCTTTGTCTAGCTATCCCCTGATCTTTTAAAAATATTTCCCACAGATGTTACTGACTGTGTGCCTAAGACTGCTGAGGATATCGAAGAGGAAAGAGCAATAAAGGAAATATGCTATAAATCTGGTAAGTACGAAAGGAGTTGTCACGCTTTTCTGAGCAGCCATGCTGCACACACAGTAATCTTTGGGATATTTTTCCCTCTTGATAATGTTCAGGAGAGTTTTACGGGATTCAGCAGCCTGACCAACGGCAGTCACCTAACCCTGTGTCACCCTCCCAGGAAACTGTACTACGGCCCTCGGAAGCTACCCAGTGGGACTTGCAGAAAACCAAGTACTTTTCATCGCCTCGGACAATGGGTACCACTTTTGAAATTACTCTTACAAGGAGAAACTAGGACACAGTTTGCCCCTCCTCTCCACTTTTTGAACTCAGGGACAGTCCTAAGGCGTTTGCAAATATCATAAAAATACTTAAGTTTTTCTTCTTATTTGTGTGCATGGGTATCACACAGGTGGTGGCTACCTGCATCAATTGTCACTGGAAAAGATGAAAATGGGCTCAATATTAACGCCAGGAGTACTTTCCTCGGGTACAAAACATCAGTTTTAGTCTGGAACTAAGAGAAAACAAGGGTACTTAAACATAACATTGCCTTGCACCTAAGTGCGTTCACAAGCAGGGATAAAACAGGAGGACAGAATTATGGATTAGTTTCTTCTAAAAGCAGTTGATGCCTTTGGGAAAATTTTCATGACAGGAACATGCACTTAGTTAAAGTCCAGGACAACCATGGCAGAATCGCATGAGTCACCTGATGCATTTGTGGATGCTTCAGCTAACGCAGTATTTGTAATAATGTAATATCTGATTCACCTGTCAGGCTAAGAGAGTCTTCCCAGAAAGTACATCTCAAGTGAGGAAACCATGTCTATGCTCTTCCTACAGACAAATACACTTCAGGATCCTATAATGCACCAACTCCAAGGAAGAGAAATCCACAGGCACAAACATTCTCCAAGACTAAAACAACCATTCAGGTAACTGCTTGATAGAGATTTTGACCGCCTGGTCTCTCCCCACCTAGAAACCAGAATTTCATAGTAACAACTCCCCCAACCAAATCCCAAAAAGATCCTATGCAATGCTGAGCAGTCTGAAAGAACAGTTAGGAGTTGTATGGATTTGCAGACAATAATTCCTAATTTTGTACAGTGTTACTGATCTGAAGGCAAAAGTTGTACTTGCCTTTACAATGAGGAGCTACAGGACGGGGTTTGGCTTGTAGCACTAGACAAAGCTCAGCAGAGACACTGCATGAGCGTGGTCTATTTGTCTCTCTTTGTCTGCTTATGTAGCATCTCCAAAAGCCAAACACTCATCAGCCACGGTCCTAATTCATGAAAGGAATCACTCTAGTAAACATTCACAGAATGCCCTGAGGGCCTAAAATTAATAGATTTTACAGCTGAGCAGAAAGCAGAGATGACAACTTGACCTTGCCTCTTGTGTCGACGGTTTACTGCTTAAACTGCTTCTGAAAGAGCGTATAGTTTTGCCATAGGAAATTATGCACAAGGTGTTCTGTGTTTGTATTTTGACAACAGCACCAAAAAGACATGGAAGTGAACCACAAACGAGAAGGGTATGAAGACAGGAGGAAGATGAAGAAAGTACCTGAATTCACAAGAACAACCTAAATTGCAGAAAGATAGGGGAATTCTCAAGAGGAGAAACCAAACACGATAAGAATGCAAATTCCAAAAATAACACGTAGGAAGTACACTGTAACACTTCAAAAGTGATTAAATTTTAATCCTTCATCATGGCTATGCTACTGCCTTGTTCTCATGCAGATTCTTATTCCTGACAACTGGACTCTATCAGCCCAGCCCTATCCATCCTATTCCTGATTTCTAATCCTATCTACGTACTCCAGTGTTTCCCGAAGACGTGCCAGCTTGGAAATTGCTCTAAGACAAAAGAAGAAAGACAATCTCCTTGCGAACTCTTTCTGCCTTTCCCATTATTGGTTAGAGATAATTTTGCCTTTGTATGCAGTTCAAGTAGTGCATATACACTAGAAGGGTTTCCAGTCTAGCACTGCAATATTTGGAGACGTGCCTTCCTTTATGACAATGGGCAACGGAAATTCAACCCAGTGAGCTGCTCTGAGCCCTCAGTTTGGAGCTGAAAGGCAATAGCACCATTTTATTCCAAGCAATACCCAGGCCAGTCCAGTGAACTATGGCAAAAGCATCCTGCTGTTAAATACTTTCTGTTTTAGGAACTGCGTTTGTAGCCATAAGCATAAAATACAGAATCTTTGAACATGCATGGGCCAGTTTGAGATCTAATCCCGTGTCAGATTCTTCTTGATGAAGGAACACCAACTGAGGAATTGCCCCAGCAGGCAACTAAGCCCCACACAGCAGTTTGCTCGCTCGCTCGCTCACTCACTCACTCACTCACTCACTCCCCTCCCCATTGACGTGTGGGTTAAAATCAGGACAACTGAGAGAAAACTCCTCGGTTCACATGAAAACAGTTTAATAGGTAAAGTAAAAGCCACACACACAAGCAAAGCAAAGCAAAACAAGGACCTCACTCACCACTTCCCATCAGCAGGCAGGTGTTCAGACATCTCCAGAGAAAGTAGTCATCACCACGCCAAACGTTTCCCCCCCCCCTTACTTCTTGTTTTCCCAGTCTGTCCGTAGACTGCCTTTTCCAGATCGGGAAGTCAGAATACTGGTTGGGTCCCTTGAAAGTTTCCCAGTACCATTATCCTGGAGTGACCCCGTTCCTTGCCGTGACCGTTCCCGACACTTAGAAAAAGCAAACGCAACACCTGCGTGAGGACCCGGATGCGCCACCATCCCTTTCGCCAGAGACCTGCAGCCGAACTCCTCGCCACCTCCGTCTCGAACAAACACGGCACCTTCCGCTGCACCGCACCCCCACACCTCACAACCCCCGTTGCCAGCCCTGCGCCGAGCACACACTGCGACTGCGCCTGCGCCGACCACACACACACTGCGCCTGCGACTGCGCCTGCGCCGAGCACACACACACTGCGACTGCGCCTGCGGCGAGCACACACACACTGCGACTGCGCCTGCGCCTGCGCCGAGCACACACACACTGCGACTGCGCCTGCGCTGAGCACACACTGCGACTGCGCCTGCGCCGCCCCCGCGGGGCGCCGCGGGAAGTGGAGCCTCTTACTGCTTCCCCCGCCAAGCTCTGCGGCACGGCCGTGGGCGCGGTGGGTGAGCTGGGCTGCCCGTGTCCAGCAGCCCGCAGCCTCGGGTCGGTTCCGCCGCTCCGCCCGGCCCGGCTGCGGGCCTGGGGCAGCTCCGCTCTCCCCAGCGGCAGCTGCCGCCGGGCCAGGGCCGGCCCGGGAGCCACAGCTGTGCTCGGAGATGGGTCCCGGCGGCCGCGAGGCCGAGGCCGGCCTGAGGCCCCAAGCTGTGGGGACCTCTCCCTCAGGACAGCCGCCTGCTGTCCTTACCCAGGCTCTGCCTCGGCGTACAACCCTTGAGTCTCTGCCGCTTGACTGTGCCTGGACGCCAGGCACTCGCTCACCAAAGCTGCTTTGCCGCTGTGCTCTTTAGCTGCACGGAGGGGAGAACATACAACGAAAGGCTCGTCGGTCGACACAAGGACACGGACAGAGATCGCTCACCCTTTTCTCTCAGTTTATTGCCAATCGCAGCCGAGCAGGGGCATGAAATATAAAAGTCAAATTTCTCAACACCACCTCCTCACCAGTCCCTTCTCCCCTGTTGTCATTGGCCCTGTTGGACACATGGGAAGCTTCCAGCAGCTGCTCCCTGTAGCCCCCAGCTACCACATCTTTGCCACACAAACCCAGGGCAGAATCGGTTCTTCCTGACCAGCCCTGCTTCTGTGCCTCATGTAGGCCCAGCTGCGCAACTACAGAGCCTCTGTGGATAGCCCCTGGCACAGCTGACCTGGCCTTCCTAGGGCTGCTTCTGCCCACTGATGGCTCCTTACTCATGGCCCTCATCTGCTTTCCTGAATTCTCCTTCCCCTGTGTGCCCCAGTCAGTCCTGCCCTGGCACACTAATGTCGTACAGCACCGCTGTGCTCTGCTGACCTGTCCTGTGAGTCTAGTCACCATGCACTGCTGGGCTGGGTTCTTGCAGAGTTTTTCTGATTTGTTTGGTTTTGTGTTGTTTTTTTTGTGTTTTTCTGTTGCTCCTTCTCCCGTGGAACCGCTGGTCTCATGCACTTCTGATGCTGCTATGAGCCACTGATTCTCTTTCTTGCTGTTTACCTTGTATCCTCCCTCCCGTTTCTTTGGTTTCATCTCTATCCTTATGACTCTCAAAGTAATGGCATTTTTCTCCCTGGGGTCATATCTCCTTTTCTTTTCTGTGCTTCCGTTTGTGTTTTACTACCAAGTTCCCATGATTTGTTCCCACAGTGCACAGAAGCATTCATTTCCAAGTCACTGATGTCAAATATACAGGTTCTTCTTCCCCACAGATATTTTTTATTCAGAGGATGCCTAGCACCTGAATGGGATCAGAGCTGTTCTTTAGGGACACAAGTGTCCGCTGCTCTTTCTGCTGTAGCTGTGGCACTGGACATCATAGAAACAAGAAAAACCAATGAACCCCAGCAGTGTAAGCATTTAACACCTAGCACCCTAGTAGCGGGAAGCAGCAATCCACAGAAAGAGGTGCAGTAAGAAACGTGGGGCACAGGGACTTGGGTTAAAAAAACACTCAAAGAATAAAGTTCATCTTTGTCTTCTCAAAGATTTGTTTCCAAGACCACAGGTTCTACGAGAAGAAGTTGGGTATTATTTAAGCACCACAAGATGGGTTTGTTTCAGTATACGTGAAAGGAATATGGGGTGGGAGAGTAGGAGCCTCTTGGAGATGCTCTGATTTTCCATACTTTGATGAAACGAGATCAAGAAAGATGCTCAAGCTGGACAGGCCACATGCAACCATCATGCTGATGTCACCAACTGGAGGAGCCCTTGACAACCGCAAAACATTCTATGGAACCCAGACTACGGAACACTTGTTGAACATTCTCTACTGGCTAGCAGTTGCTGATGTCAGCTCAGCGAGCCTGCAGAAGGCACCATCTCCTTTGCACACTAGAGTGTGATGGAGGTGAAAATGGACACGAATGGGACAGAATGCTATTTCCAGTTTTATTCCCCCTATGCACAGGTACGTGACGAGAAGAGCTAAAGGTAATCTAAACTATATACAATTTCAACTGGGCGCAGGCAATCAGAGAACACAGAGGTTAGAAATCACACCTATAGACCACTCATCACTTTCTTACTGAGTCAACATAATACTAATTCTGAACAAACAGACCACGTTTATAATTTCTTTTTGGAGCAACTTCCTGAATTACTGTAAAATCTCTTGTTTAAAACAAAGCTCTTCAGAAAGGGATTGTCCTCAAAAAAATTACTTAAATTCCACTGAGTGAAAATCAGGGTGGCCATATGGACACTTGGTTATTGTCCACATTTCATCGCTGGGGGATGATTAATTGTCACTAATGGCTGGGAAATTGGCTTTGGCTCCAGACCCCAGAGATTCTCCAGGTATAGGCCAGTTCTCCTGACTACAGTCCAGACGTGGCCTCTTTTCTTTCTAAATGTCTGGCACTGGGTGAAACCGACCTTCAAATACTCTAATATTTTAAAGCGTGTCTTTGTTGCCTTTAAAAACTCACACACAAACTCACTGAGAAACAACAGGTCACCTGGCGTGTATAGCTCTCAGCCTGGATGTGGCTTGTATCCAGGATAGAAACATGAGTTTGCATTTGTCACTGTGACACTGTTATACATGGACTACTGCATCATCTTCCCCATTTATTAAAACCAAAATCTTTTAAAAGAGCAGAGTCACCTTTATGACAGCCACGGGGGTATGGGAAACCAGTGTGAATCTCCAGAAATTTGTTTTCTTCGGGTGCAGATTCTGTCAGTGTGGAAAACCTCTTGGATGCGGTACTGTGCGCCCACTATGAAAATGGAGATAGTTGCATCTGTTCAGTGGATTTAGAGATACGGAAATGCAGGTGGAAAGGAGCAAGTCCCTTCAAAACACATGTTTAAGTCTGAAAACAAAAGTGACTTTCTGCAGCCGAGCTGATGTTTCCAATGGGAACTGGAAAAAAAAAAAAAAAGATTTTTTTCCAGATTTTTAAGTCCAAGTGTGACAGGTCTGTGCAAGGATTACAAGTTCCCAAATGTCTAGGCTTTTGTTTCTTGTCAGGAATCTTTGTGGGGTTTGGTTTTTACTTCTCATTTTCCCACAGACCCATGTACTCGTAATAGTAAGAGAGTAATTGTGTGAGATTTGCCACATGTACGGCAGATTTTATTCAAGATCTCTTTAAATGTTCTGAAATATCAAAATACACTCCCACCAAGTCTTACTTGTATGTGCACAGTAGTTACATCATGTACTGATCCATTAAGTCCATTTTTACTAGTTCATTTACAGTATCTGAAAACTGTTCCCTCCTGCAGCAGAAGTTAAAGAACATTGCCTGCTTGTGGGAAAGACAACCCTCAGGCTGTGTGAGGATCAACTGTGCCTTCCATCACAGCAAACCTCGTTATATCAATGGACTTTTTCTGCCACCTACTAACAGTGAGTAAAAATATTTTCTCAACAGATTTTTCATTAGAATTCAGAAAATATCCTTCTACTCTTGTTCTATTGTATAATAAGGGCAAGAAACGTACCATGCCAAGACAGTCAGGCATGATCTGCTATAGCGAGATACTGAAGTCGTGGAATGCTTTGGCATTGGAATGCCAATGCTTTGGCATTGGCATAGGCTTGTTGCAGGAATTTTGCCTATCATGTTACAAATTGTCATAGCTACCAGTGGTATGAAAGATGAAGTCATGAACGGTAGCTTAGATTGCTGAGATCCACAGAGCAGGAATGATTTTTCCTTGGGTATTTGGTAGATTATATCTCTCTAGTACCGATCCTGCTCTTTTCTGCAGATGCGCTATTGCCACAGGCTGACCAAGAAGTGATTCTGCCTCCAGCCCAGTGTCAAGGCTCACACACACGTCCAGGGAATACTGTAATACCAATTCACTCTCCACTGATTATAAACCTCAACGATGAAGAGGATGATGAAGAAGATGATGAAGAGGACGATGAAGAGAACTGTAAGCAAGTTTTTTCTATCCTTTACAAGCAAGTAGAAGGTATTTTGTAAAACATTATAGTGTACTTCTCACTCAACTGATTCATTAGAATGAGCATTATTTGCATAAAAGAGTGGTTGACAAGTTGCTAAAAGAGTTTCCAGCAAATCTCCAAATTATCAGACCTGACAGTCACCAGCTGCGAGTGAGGCATCATTTTCTAATTCCTGTGAAATGCCCAGCTGTATGTTTCAACAGTGGTATAACTCACATTCCTCTTTCTCATTAACTAGACTTTAAAAAGTGATCCCCAATTCAGATAATTTGTGAATTCAACTTAAATAATCTCCTCAACTGATTTCCTCAACTCCATAGGCAGTCTCATTACAAAACATTATTCTGACGTCTAGCAGACAAAATGCATACCAAGCTCTTTCCTAGCTTACCTGAATGTGTATGTTTATATACTTAGGTCCTTAGGTTTTAAAACTTATTAAATGCGGTTGAACCATTCAGTGAATCTCATTTAGAGATGGCAGATCCATAGGGAAGAGATGAACTGCACATTCCCGGTGAGTGAAAGGAGAGAACAACCTGCTCTAAGGCGCACACTGCAGAAGTTAAAGTACTAATAATTTTAAGTCAACACATGTTATCTTCTTACAAGGCTTGTAACTGCAATTCCCTTGCCCTTGGAAGTACCTAATGTGAAGGAATGATTTCCCTGTCCGGAAGCAGAGGTTGTAATTGGGATGGAAATAAAAAGGAAAACTAAAAGCCAAAAAACGTAACCATGTGAAATTCATTATGTATTTGACTGTTAAGAATTGTTGAAGGTCTTTGTCTAGCTATCCCCTGATCTTTTAAAAATATTTCCCACAGATGTTACTGACTGTGTGCCTAAGATTGCTGAGGATATCGAAGAGGAAAGAGCAATAAAGGAAATATGCTATAAATCTGGTAAGTACGAAAGGAGTTGTCACGCTTTTCTGAGCAGCCATGCTGCACACACAGTAATCTTTGGGGTATTTTTCCCTCTTGATAATGTTCAGGAGAGTTTTACGGGATTCAGCAGCCTGGCCAACGGCAGTCACCTAACCCTGTGTCACCGTCCCAGGAAACTGAGCTACGGCCCTCGGAAGCTACCCAGTGGGACTTGCAGAAAGCCAAGTACTTTTCATCGCCTCGGACAATGGGTACCACTTTTGGAATTACTCTTACAAGGAGAAACTAGGACACAGTTTGCCCCTCCTCTCCACTTTTTGAACTCAGGACAGTCCTAAGGCGTTTGCAAATATCATAAAAATACTTAGTTTTTCTTCTTATTTGTGTGTATGGGTATCACACAGGTGGTGGCTACCTGCATCAATTGTCACTGTAAAAGGTGAAAATGGACTGCATATTAACCCCAGGAGTACTTTCCTCGGGTACACAACATCAGTTTTTTGTGTAATTCTTCTTCAAAATCACAATTTATGTACTCTAACCATTCTAATGTAAAGAACTGGTTTCAATTTCTCTAGCAGGCTCTCTCTTGTAAACAGGGACAAGAGTCCCTATTTACACTCTGATAGGGCTATTTATTGCATCGTGAGGATGCCAAAGAACGGTAAAAAACAGCTTTCTCAGAGGCATTTTGAACTCTCTGCTGAACCTCTCTGGTGTCTAGAGGATGAGATGTAGTGGTATATTTCAAGAAAAGGACAGATATGTTTCCCCAAAGCTTTTTTTCAGCCAAGTTCTCTGAGGCTTTAGGTTCTGTGATAACAGGCACCTTGAAAATGCCATCAATTTAATGAGGCAGAATTCATACGTATCATATATGAAGAGTGAATCTAAAGGAATGATTTCCCTGTCCGCAAGAAGAGGTTGTAATTGGGAAGGAAATAAAAAGGAAAACTAAGAGCCAAAAAACATAACCAAGTGTAATTCATTATGTATTTGACTGTTAAGAATTGTTGAAGGTCTTTGTCTATCTATCTCCTAATCTTTTAAAACTATTTCCCACAGGTGTTTCTCACTGGGTGGATAAGACTGCTGAGGATATCAAAGAGGAAAGAGCAATAAAGGAAATATGCTATAAATCTGGTAAGTACGAAAGGAGTTGTCACGCTTTTCTGAGCAGCCATGCTGCACACACAGTAAACTTAGGGGTATTTTTCCCTCCTGATAATGTTCAGGTGAGTTTTACGGGATTCAGCAGCCTGACCAACAGCAGTCACCTAACCCTGTGTCACGGTCTCAGGAAAATGAGCTACGGCTGTTTTGATTTTTCTTCACAATCTAGATTTATGTAGTGTAGTTTGAAGCATCCTAAGATTCTTTTCACTGTATAGTATTGACTGACCAATTTTGCAGTCCTAAATTATTCCACAGAATTTGGCAGATTCTTGGTTTTCTCCTTTCTACATTTAAAATGCATCTTGTTAGAATAGTTTCGGTGATTTTTTTCTGGCACATGTTTATATATGTTTAGAGTACAGATGAGAGAAACAGTAAGAAATATCTGGGTTTAAGGCACATCCTTATTTTTCATAAGATACATTCTGAGGAAAGCATAGACAGATTTACCCAAAGCATTTCTTTAATTGAGTTCTCCGAGGCATTAAGTTCTGTGATGACAGGCAGCTTGAAAATACCATCAATTTGGTCAGGTAGGATTCATAACTACCATTCATGGGAAGTGGGAAGCTGAAGAACAAGCAGGTCACTTGGAGCTGGTTCTTTCCTTTGGAGCCAGTGCCTTCTTTACTCTGTGTACAACGGTATTTTCTTGGAGGGCATGAGTGTTATAGCTCAGGTAGTGGAGTTACTCCAGGCAGGATCCAAAGAACAGCCGAAAGAGAGAGAAGAATATAAAAAGGGAGTTGGAAGGCAACTGCACTGAACTCATGACAAGCTCCCAGAGGTGGGAGGAAGCGAATGGCAGTGCCCTTCCCAGTGCTTAAACACCAGCAGCTGAAACATTGTTTCTGGTGCTTTCACAGGTGAAAGCAATACAATTCCTGCAGAATTGAGCAACACAAGTAGAGGAGGAGGAGGGAGTACGGGAAGGAGAGTACCAAAAGCGAGTATTTCCAGAACTGGTTGCAGATCCTTTGAAAATGGAGGTAAGATACTTGAGCGTGGAGTCCTTACGGCTAAACATTACCTCATGAATGACATAACTGTCTATATTTGGACTGGGCTATCCACAAATAAAATGTTTTTTGATTTTAGTCTTGTCTTCCGGCATGACGTCAACATTATTATTTGTTTTTTCCCTTTTAGGAAGCCACACTGCCAGTCCCAAAGTACAGCCCAGTTACCAAACAAATGGTCAAAGTAAAGATGGTGAAACTTCTTCTCTTCCACGTGACAGAGAAACCGGGAGAAAGCCTAACTTCTGTTCTTCAGAACCACGAAGATCAGCATATGTAGTCTACCGTTCTGTCACTGTCACCCAAGAACCAAAGTTCACTGGACCTAGAGGTGAGTTCCTGCTTCAAACGGAGGATTCTTAAAATGCCTCTAATACACCTGCCTGTATTGCGCTACAGTCGATTGTGTCCCTGCAGGTAGAATATGAAGATTTATGGTTAAAGATGGGAAAGAGTAAATTTGATCCAGTGTAACTTTCACAAGTAGGTTGCAGCAGTACACACACAAAGAAATGTAAAGATTTTATGATTGTTTTCATAATTTAGGCTTATGTTTCATCTTCAATAAAAATGTCCTTGGATTTTAATCAAGCTGCTTTTCTTGAATTACATGCAGTGTAAATTTCTGCAATTTATTATTGTTTCTTCACATTATTTCTGTTGGACAGAGCAGTGAGGACATTCTTCCTGCCATTCGTGCAGGATGATATTTTCCATCAACTTCTCTCCGTCTTGCAAATATGCCACTATCCTCCTGATAGAACATACTGTGTCATAAATTTGACAGGATCTGACAGGTGGGATTCCGAGCCCTGTGTCTTCCTGTTTGGATATCTAATTTGGATGTAATCATAATTGTACATCTTTTGCTTTAATTTTCTAATAGAGCTTCACATAATCAAGTACATAATTTGAAGTTTATGTGCCTTTCTCCCTGCCCTGTCCATGATAACTCTGGAAAACTGCTTGTTTCATCTGTCACTTCATAAAAATTAGTAATAAAGTATTTCAATAACCCTAAGTTAAAAAGTCATTTCCTCTAAGCAGTTTTGGTCACCTATCTTAAACCATGTTGAATCTCCATCTCGAGGTGCCTCCAGGTCTTTCCAATGAAGGGAACTTCTTTCATATGGAGAAGATCAATGAGGTTAAGGGGAATGAATTCCCATATCAGTACTCTGTCCCAGGGACTAATAGTTGTGGGGTTTTTCTTTTTGCTTTTAATGTTTGCTTTGATAAAATGTGGACAGATGGGTGCAGAAATTACAGAGAGTTCATTCTTAATGTGAAGACTACATCTTATCAAGCTTCCAGGTTAAAAAAGGATACAGTATGTCTAAAACAAGGTGATCAGCATTATTCTCATAACAACAACCGTTACCATTTTGGTTACTGGGTTGTTTTTTTTTCAGCAGTTCCCGAGCCATCTGTTCGAAAATGCTCCAAAGGAAAGAATGAACCTGGCGAGAATAGGGGATTTGTGACGCAAACAGGAAACTGTGGTAATACTGCAGTGTTGGGTGTAAACTGAATATTTCAGGTTTAGTATGGAAAAAATAATGTGAATTAATGCACTTAGTCTGGAACTAAGAGAAAACGAGGGTACTTAAACATAACATTGCCTTGCATCTAAGTGCATTCACAAGCAGGGATAAAACAGGAGGACTGATTTATGGATTAGTTTCCTCTAAAAGCAACTGATACCTTTTGGAAGATTTTGGGTACAGGAACACGCACTTAGTTAGAGTCCCTGACAACCATGGCAGAGGGTCCTGGGTTCAGCTGTAGCAGTCAGTTTTTCTTAGTATCTGGTGCAGTGCTGTGTTTTTTACTGTCAGCATGGGAACCACATTCATATCACTGATGTTTTTAGTGCTTGCTAAGTAGTGTTTGCTCTGACCAAGGACTTTCTGAGTCTCATGCTCTGCCAGGGAGGAAGGAAAGCTGGGAGGAAGCAGAGACAGGACACCTGACCCAAACTAGCCAAAGGAGTATTCAATACCACAGTACGTCGTGCCTAGTGTGTAAACTGGGGGGAGTTACCCAGAAGGCCCAGATTGTTGCTCGGGTCAGGTTGGGTATCAGTTGTCACATGGTGAGCAGTAGTAGTTTTGTGTTATACCTTAGTTACTGGACTGTTCTTACCTCAACCCATGGGAGTTCCACTTTTTCGATTCTCCTCCTCATCCCTCCGGGAGCTGGGGGAGGAGAAGTGAGCTAGCGGCTGTGTGGTTCTGAGTTACCGGCTGGACTTAAACCACGCCTCGCTTGGGAGGTCCTCAGAGCCTCATGGACAGCCTGCAAGATTACAAAAACTCGTTGAAAAGAGAACTAGAGAGAGAGAGAGTCTGTACTTAATCCTAGCTTCTATTTTAGAGGTGCTACAGGACTCACCTGATGCATTCACGGGTACTTCAGATAACATAGTATTTGTAATAATGTAGTATCTGATTCGCCTGTCAGGCTAAGAAAGTCTTCCCAGAAAGCGCATCTCATATGAGGAAACCATGTCTATGCTCTTCCTACAGACAAATACACTTCAGGATCCTATAATGCACCAACTCCGAGGAAGAGAAATCCACAGGCAAAACCAACCATTCAGGTAACTGCTTGATAGAGATTTTGACCATCTGGTCTCTCCCCACCTGGAAACCAAAATTTCACAGTAGCAAGTTCCCCAACCAAATCCCAAAAGATTCCAGGCAATGCTGAGCAGTCTGAAAGAACGGTTAAGAGTTGTATGGATTTGCAGACGTGAAATTTGGGCTGTAGAACTAACCCATGATTCCTAATTTTGTACAGTATTACTGATCTGAAGGCAAAAAGTGCCTTTAAAGTGAGGAGCTACAGGAGGGGGTGTGGCTTGTAGCACTGGACAAAGCACAGCAGAGACACTTGCATGAGTGTGGTCTATTTGTCTCTGACTGCTTGTGAAGCATCTCCAACAGCCGAACGTTGATCAGCCACGGTCCTAATTCATGAAAGGAATCGGGCTAGTAAACATCCACAGGATGCCCCGAGGGCCTAAAATTAATAGATTTTACAGCTGAGCAGAAAGCAGAGATGACAACTTGACCTTGTCTCCTGTGTTGACGGTTTACTGCTTAAACTGCTTCTGAAAGAGCATATAGTTTTGCCATAGGAAATTATGCACAAAATGTTCTGTGTTTGTCTTTTGACAACAGCACCAAGAAGACATGGAAGTGAACCGAAAAGGAAAACGATGTGAGGACAGGAGGGGGATGAATAAAGTACTTGAATTCACAAGAAAAATCTGAATTGAAATAAGGAAATTCTCAAATGGAAAAACCAAAGATGATAATATTGCAAATTCAGATAATAAGATGCAGGAAGTACATGTGATTTGTCAAAACTGTTCAGAAACTTTGAAAGTGTGCCCTGAATTGTCACGTATAAAGTTAATAAATATATTCAAGAAGTTTAATCTGTTACAAAAGTTTGTTCCGTGAATTGATTTTTGCAAAGCTTTTTAATGCATCATTAGTCTTGTGAATAAAAGCAATTAGTTTTACTTAGCAATTGCAGAGGACTTAATGTTAATCGCAACAATACTGCATTCCAGAAAGTAGCTGTTTTGGTGAGAAACCCAGATTCTTAGATGGTTTGTTTAGTGGTTTGGCTGATGTTTTGGGGCTCAGTCAGAGTTTAATCTTGAGATTTTGCCATTTTAGCAGAGCAGCAGAACTGTGGACATCATTGTAGTACATGATGCCTTGCAGCAATATTTTATATTTGTATATATAAATATATAAATATTTTATACTTACATTTTAAAATGACGAGGAATGAAATTAATTTCTCTATGATGCCTGTGCAAACTCCACTCTTCTCACTGATTTATTAGCAGCACCTTGGCAAACACAGGGCCTACAGTCAGGATTGCTGAAGTGTAGCTTAGCAGCCTTTAGCAGGTAAGCTTGTTGTCGTGGTGGCAGGTCACAGATAGTACAAAACACCTCATCATTGTACAATAAATACACAGTTCAACAATATATTAACAGTTCCTGTGAGGTGTTTACTATTCTTGGCTGGTATCAAAGGAACAGTAAGGGATCAGTGGGTTGTATGATCAAATCTTCATGTAAGATTTTCCTATAACACCTTCCAAGATCCACTAACATAATAAAAGTACATGCATGTTTTTCAGATCACAGATGAATTCGCTCTTATGCTCCTTAATCCCCTTCTGCCTGGTTGTCTCTACCATTAGGGCCTCAAGGAGGAGCCAAAGGATCTTGGGGGTATTCATCATTTCATGCAGTGAGGTCCTAAAGACTGCATTTCTGTTTTCATATACCCGCTGCATGACAAATCACCCACACTGGTTTAAACTAACAGTACTTGAAAGTAAGTTCTGAGATAATATGCCAAAGATCAGAGTCGGAGGGCTACTGCAAGAGAGTTGAATTTACCCGAGTATTCTGTATGCATGTGCATTATCTGCTTCTGAACTGAAAGAAGAGGAAAGTTATTTATTGCTTTCACCTTACACATGTTAAAGTATGCTACACTTTTTCTAGATGGTACTTCTAACAGCACATCAGACGTCTAGAATAGGGGAATCATCTTAAATAGTAAATGGATTTACAAAGGTACCACCTGTACTTTATTATAGTTTGCAAAGATTCCAGCCAGAGATCCTATGTTCCTGAATAAACATAACAGCTGAATTGAAATCACTAAGTCCCAGCATCTCAGCAGCACTGGTATTTTAAATAAGATGTTCATTAATTAAGGTAGCAAAGTCCATCTCTAGTCAACATCCAAATATGAAAAAATTTGTTGTTGTAAAATAAAATGAAACTTCCCCAGGAATTATAAAGATTGCTTAAAAACGAAGGATTTTTACAATATCCTTCTAATGAGACATTTGCTTATAAAATATTCCTTGTGTAGCAATGCTTTATGTAAATTCATACATTTATTTTTAAAAAAGGCTGTCGATTATTTAACTATCTCTGCAGTCACTAGGGGTCAGTGCAGCCACAGGAGTGGGCTAGAACAACGCCCAGGACCGAATTTTAATTAGCGTGAGCTTCATTCCAGCTCTTCAGAGCTTAAGCCTCCCTGCAGTGTTCTGTAATAGCTTTAAGTTAAGAGAAAAGGGTGGGGTAGGCTTGTTATGCTTCCTAATTCAGGGGAGCGGTACAACAACCTGTAATTAAAGTTACTAAATGGCTATTTTTAGTCTCTTAAAACACAGGCATGATGTCACCCTACTTCTCCCTCTTCCTACAGGCCTTCCAAAAGGTGTTTGTGTTACCTATTGATCTGGGCAGCCCTCACCACAGCTTCTTCTCAAGGAAATAG